GTAAGTGAGGCGCCTCGGGGGAGGGTCGCGGGGCCGGCGGCCTGCGGCACGTGAAGCCGGGGGAGAAGATGCGCAGTGGCGGCTGGGGACCTCTTCTCTTTCTCTGGGCGGCAGAATTGGCTCAGGAGCACTGCAGTTCGGCAGACAGTGAGCGCCCCAGGGCTGCTGCAGCCGAGGACTGGTGGCTTCGCTCCTCCAGCCTCCCCAGGCTGGAAGGGCCCAATTCCCAGCAGCTTGCACACAGCCCTGCCGCCGTTTAAAGATAGATGAGGTCCAAGAGTTCGCTGTTCCGAACTGCACGTTGCAGATCGTTTGCGTCCTCCCCGGAGCAGAGCGCAGGGCGGGTAGGTGGACGGGATGATTCCCCCACACCCCCGGACACACAGCCCTTCCTTTTCTGGGACCACTTGCTTTGCTCAGGGATCCCCACTCCTGGACAATTCTGATTTGCTCTCTGAGCTTTTCTTCTACCACTTCCCATTTCACCCTACTCCTTTTCTTGCCTTTAGAATGTCAGGGCCGGGCGCGGTGGCTCACGTCTGTAATACCAGCACTTTAAGAGGCGGAGGCGGGCGGATCGCCTGAGGTCAGGAGTTCGAGACCAGCCTGGCTAATATGGCGAAACCCCGTCTTTACTTAAAAAACCCCAAAAATTAGCCGGGTGTGGTGGCGGGCGCCTGTAGTCCCAGCTACTCGGGAGGCTGAGGCTTGAGAATCTCTTGAACCGGGAAGGAGGAGGCTGTAGTGAGCCGAGATCGCGCCACTGTCCTCCAGCCTGGGCGACAGAGCGAGACTCCGTCTCAAAAAAAAAAATAAAAAAAAAAAATAAAAAAAAGGCAGACGAAACCTTCCGGTGCCTCCAATCGGGCAGCAGAAATAGGGGATCTACTGGATTGTGATGGTTTTCTTAAGCCTTCCCCCCTTACCCTTCTAAATGAGTCACTTGGACTGACATGCTCAAGTATAAATTATTAAAAGTTCAATCCCGAGTCGTGACCTCGGAGAATGGAGGAGGAAGCTGAGAGGGATCGCCGCCTTCTACCCGGGGCGGTTGGTGGTGGTTTTCACCTGGTTCTATGTGAATGTGTGAGAAGCAGCAGGAAGGTGAATGTCCCTTTCAAAAGTCAAAATAGGCTTCTAAGTGACTCAGCTGTCTGGCGTTTATCATGTCTTTTTGAGGACCAAGTTATTTTTATCCACCCACTTTAGATCTCATATGTCACCCGGCAGATCTCAATGCATTGGAAGGCGCATGGATTGGATTGACCGAGGCAGGTCTCGCAATTGTCCAATACCTTTGATTCATAGTATGTGGAGTATTGTCAGAGGGGAAAAGAAAAGTCCAAATGAGCGGCAACATTTCCAAAGTTTCCTTTATTATCTGTGGGTTGATTTTGGCTGGCTGCAAAGCATTTTTGCTCGATACACATTGGAGTATCAGAGTTAGTATCCTCTCTGTGACATTAGTTTTTTTATTTATGGTAATTACATATCATTTGAGGGATAAAACCTAACTTATTTTTTGACTGCTTACTTTTTTTTATTTCGAAAAGATCTACAGAGTGGAATGTGACAATTGGCAGTCCTTTCTTAATAAGTTATCCATAAATTATTTGAAAATGCCATTTTCAGATTGTATGGCCAGTGTTGGGCAGTTCCTAAAGTTGGAGAGGGATAATAGTGGTAACTAACCTAAGCAATTGACAGACCGTTACCTCCATGAGGAAGAAAGTGGCTTAAGTCTTTTAGGATAGCATGACATGGAAAGTGGGTCAAATGACTTTCCCCATGTTTGATTTGGGCTCTTCTTCAAATTCTGTTTACAAACTTTGCTCTGGGAAGTTTTTGCTGCATAATGTAGTGGATAGCAGGTGTGGAAAAAAAGGCTGTTTTAATTCACTTCCACAAATAGTTATTGGGAGCTTACTGTGTGTGTTTCTAGAATGTTACTATTCTAGAAACATCTCGTCCAGTGTAGACTGATGATTTCAGTCACATCATAGCAGTTCCTTGCGGGAGACTGGGATTAATTTACAAGGCTGATGAATCAGTATATTTCATTATCTATGTTTCAGGGGAGGAAGGGAAGGAAGGTTTGATAATATTTATCTTAAAACACAGTGCTTGATAATGAGAAGTTTTTTTTTTTTTTTTGAGATAGATTTTTGCTCTTGTTGCCCAGGCTGAAGTGCAATGGCATGATCTCAGCTCACTGCAACCTCCGCCTCCTGGAGTCAAGCGATTCTCCTGCCTCAGCCTCCCAAGTAGTTGGGATTACAGGCGTGTGCCAACACACCAGGCTAGTTTTGTATTTTTAGTAGAGACAGGGTTTGGCCATGTTGGTTAGGCTGGTCTCGAACTTCTTACCTCAAGTGATCCACTCACTTTGGCCTCCCAAAGTACTGGTATTACAGGCATGAGCCACTGCAACCAGCCAGTATTTTGTTATGGTATGTAACACTACACTGTGAGTCCAATAAGGGTTTCTTCAGCACGTACTATGTGCCATCTCATACATGCATGACTGTAAGGACCGTAGAGAGCAAAATCCATTAGTGCTAAACACACCAGAAACTTTAATCCACAAGCGCCATGGGATGTCTTAGGGAAAAGGCCAAAACCAGCTGAGTGGAAAAAAAAATCATCCCTGCATTGGTTACTTTTGAAAAAGGTTATGTACAAAGATGGCTAGAAAATAAGGGAGATCAATATTCCAGGCCAGGGAAATTATGTGTGCAGAGGAGATATAAAGTGTGAATATTTCCCACTAATTTGCCTGTAATGTATTTGGAATAAAAAGATACATTTGGCAAGTAGCAAGAAGTGAGGTAGAACCAAGTAAAGAGTAGACGATGGGGGCCTTGAATCTGGAAAACATTTGGTCTTGATTTTATATGGTCAGTTACGGAAAGCTATTCTTGGTCATGTGATTTAAAGTGATGTTGGAGAAAGACTGTGAATCAACAAATCTTTGTGATGTACCTACCCTGTCTGAGGCACTGTCTATAGACCTTTGCCATTCTTCACCTTTGTGGGATACGAGTAGTGTATTAGTATCTCTCTTCTCTTCTTCCTACCTCCTAGGGCTTAACACAGAGCAGATGCTCAATAACAGCTATTTTGGGATGAGTGAGAATTTGTTTTTCACCTACATCTTTGATTTCGTCCTGGGCCCACCCTTCCGCCTTGACGTGTAGATTCACCTCTCCATGGTTTGGTTCATTGTGCAAGGTCTGTAATGCACCTTCCCAGTGGAGCTTCTTTTCAAGACTGAATTCAAGTGGTTCTGGCTCTATGAATCATTTCCATATTGCCTCCCACTAGACCCCGTAAGCACTCCTGTCTAACCCCCAGCGACATGTTCACGTGCTTGTCTCTGCCTTTGAGTGTGACCTTCCTGGAGAGTGGAGACTTTGTGTTATTCCCAGCAGCTGGTCTAGCATCTGGTATATATACCACGAACTTAGTGAATGCTTTGGAAATGTATGAATTCCATGGAGTTACAGGCTCTGCACATGGTGAGGATAAAACATATGGGAAATGTTGAGAAAGGAATCAGGGGGATTATCACATAGAATGTGATGACTTCATTGTGGGGGGCAAATGTGAAGGAGAGAGCCCAGACTGGCAGTGTTTGAATCCTATCTCTGTCACCCAGTGTGTAACTTCTCTGAGCCCCAGTTTCTCCATCTGTAAAATGGAGACAATAACAACCTAACTCAGAAGGTTGTTTTGTGGATTACATAAATTAATACATAAAGTGTGTCTGACCAATTAGTAATCACATTCACATTTGCTTTAAAAAAGGAGGAAAGGCCAGGTGAGGTGACTCACACCTGTAATCCCAGCACTTTGGGAGGCCAAGGCAGGTGGATCACCTGAGGTCAGGAGTTCGAGACCAGCCTGGCCAATGTGGTAAAACCCCGTCTCTCCTAAAAACACAAAAATTAGCTGGGCATGGTGGTGCACACCTGTAATCCCAGCTACTGGGGAGTAGGGGTTGGGGGAGTGCTGAGGCAGGAGAATTGCTTGAACTCCAGAGGTGGAGGTTGCAGTGAGCCGAGACTGCGCCACTGCACTCCAGCCTGGGCAACAGAGTGAGACTCCGTCTCAAAAAAAAATAAAAAATAATAAAAAAATTAAAAAATAAAAAAGGAGGAAAGAGAGAAGAATAGAAGGAAGTAAAAATAAAGCAAAATAGTCAGTCATGACCGGGTGTGGTGGCTCATGCCTGTAATCCTAGCACTTTGGGAGGCCGAGGCAGACAGATCATGACATCAAGAGATCAAGACCATCCTGGCCAACATGGTGAAACTCCATCTCTACTAAAAAAAAATCCAAAAATTCTAAAATTATCGATTAGAACTCTGTCTAAAAGAAAAAAAAAAAAAGAGAGAAAGAAAAAGAGTTAATCACAAATTGTAAGCCCAAGAGTCTGGTTGTCAGGGGTTATGTAGGAAGTTTTGTGTGCTTAAGTGGAGGAGGGATGTCTTGGTTCACACTTCTGCTTGTAAGCCTCCCTGGATCAGCATGGAAATCTCCTCTCATCTCTTTGGTTGTTGAGCTGCTCATTTATCTGGATGTACTTTGGTCCTGTGTCTCTTCAGTTTCCAGGTGGTCATTTCCAGTGAGGCGAGTCTCTGGCTTGTCCATGTGTAAGACTCATTTCCTTTTCTTTCTCAGCCTCCCAAGTGGCTGGGATTACAGATGCCCGCGATCGCGCCTGGCTACTTTTTTGTATTTTTAGTAGAGATGGGATTTCACTATGTTGGCCAGGCTGGTCTTGAACTCCTGACCTCGTGATCCACCCACCTTGGCCTCCCAAAGTGCTGGGATTATAGGTGGGAGCCACCGCACCAGGCCAACTCATTTCCTTTTCTAAGACCACCTTCCTCTTGTGATCATTTTTCTGGGCTCTCTCTCAACCTTCACCTTCTGCTTCAGACTTCATCCTTTCCTTTGAATGCCTGCATTACGTAGTCTGTGTCATGCAGCACAACGGCTCTAGTCTGTCCTCATGGTTTGCTCTCTTGTGCTAATTTTGCCCCCCTGCCCACTTGCATTGTAAGTGGAGCTGTTTATGCCTTCTCTTAGCTTGGGTCAACTGAAAATGAGGAGGCTTAGACAAGGCAGTTTATTTTGGAAAGTTATCCCAGGGAACAGAAGTGGAATTATGAGCAAGAGAATAGTGACAAAGAGAAAGAAAGAAAGAAAGTCATTCCGAGAATGAGTATGGAACTGGCTTCCACAGTGGGCAGCTAGAGCTAAACCTCACTGAGGACTCCCTGGGTAACTGCAGAGTGTGCCTCAGAATTGTCCACTTGAGATGGAGCAGAGGGGAGTA